AGTTGGGACTGAGAGCCTGCCATTGTTCCCTTGATTGCCTCTGATTAGCCTCAGGCTCAGCCTTCCCCTGTGTGACTCAGAAGGGGGCAGGCCTGACCTAGGCAAGCAGGCTTTAAAAAGCCAGAGCAGTGCGACCAGGGGAGCGAAGCGGACAGGGGACTGCAGACAGGGGAGTTGAAGAGGGAGAGCAAAGCGCCCCCACCGCCGAAGAGGCTACCCGGTGAGAGTACAAGCTGTGGTGTGAGTGTGTGTGTGTGCCTGACTGTTTGAATTTTACAGTTTGAAGTGTGAATTGAGTCTGATTCCAGGGAGTGCTAGCAGTTTCAGTTTCAGCTTCTGTGGCAGTTGGGACTGAGAGCCTGCCATTGTTCCCTTGATTGCCTCTGATTAGCCTCAGGCTCAGCCTTCCCCTGTGTGACTCAGAAGGGGGCAGGCCTGACCTAGGCAAGCAGGCTTTAAAAAGCCAGAGCAGTGCGACCAGGGGAGCGAAGCGGACAGGGGACTGCAGACAGGGGAGTTGAAGAGGGAGAGCAAAGCGCCCCCACCGCCGAAGAGGCTACCCGGTGAGAGTACAAGCTGTGGTGTGAGTGTGTGTGTGTGCCTGACTGTTTGAATTTTACAGTTTGAAGTGTGAATTGAGTCTGATTCCAGGGAGTGCTAGCAGTTTCAGTTTCAGCTTCTGTGGCAGTTGGGACTGAGAGCCTGCCATTGTTCCCTTGATTGCCTCTGATTAGCCTCAGGCTCAGCCTTCCCCTGTGTGACTCAGAAGGGGGCAGGCCTGACCTAGGCAAGCAGGCTTTAAAAAGCCAGAGCAGTGCGACCAGGGGAGCGAAGCGGACAGGGGACTGCAGACAGGGGAGTTGAAGAGGGAGAGCAAAGCGCCCCCACCGCCGAAGAGGCTACCCGGTGAGAGTACAAGCTGTGGTGTGAGTGTGTGTGTGTGCCTGACTGTTTGAATTTTACAGTTTGAAGTGTGAATTGAGTCTGATTCCAGGGAGTGCTAGCAGTTTCAGTTTCAGCTTCTGTGGCAGTTGGGACTGAGAGCCTGCCATTGTTCCCTTGATTGCCTCTGATTAGCCTCAGGCTCAGCCTTCCCCTGTGTGACTCAGAAGGGGGCAGGCCTGACCTAGGCAAGCAGGCTTTAAAAAGCCAGAGCAGTGCGACCAGGGGAGCGAAGCGGACAGGGGACTGCAGACAGGGGAGTTGAAGAGGGAGAGCAAAGCGCCCCCACCGCCGAAGAGGCTACCCGGTGAGAGTACAAGCTGTGGTGTGAGTGTGTGTGTGTGCCTGACTGTTTGAATTTTACAGTTTGAAGTGTGAATTGAGTCTGATTCCAGGGAGTGCTAGCAGTTTCAGTTTCAGCTTCTGTGGCAGTTGGGACTGAGAGCCTGCCATTGTTCCCTTGATTGCCTCTGATTAGCCTCAGGCTCAGCCTTCCCCTGTGTGACTCAGAAGGGGGCAGGCCTGACCTAGGCAAGCAGGCTTTAAAAAGCCAGAGCAGTGCGACCAGGGGAGCGAAGCGGACAGGGGACTGCAGACAGGGGAGTTGAAGAGGGAGAGCAAAGCGCCCCCACCGCCGAAGAGGCTACCCGGTGAGAGTACAAGCTGTGGTGTGAGTGTGTGTGTGTGCCTGACTGTTTGAATTTTACAGTTTGAAGTGTGAATTGAGTCTGATTCCAGGGAGTGCTAGCAGTTTCAGTTTCAGCTTCTGTGGCAGTTGGGACTGAGAGCCTGCCATTGTTCCCTTGATTGCCTCTGATTAGCCTCAGGCTCAGCCTTCCCCTGTGTGACTCAGAAGGGGGCAGGCCTGACCTAGGCAAGCAGGCTTTAAAAAGCCAGAGCAGTGCGACCAGGGGAGCGAAGCGGACAGGGGACTGCAGACAGGGGAGTTGAAGAGGGAGAGCAAAGCGCCCCCACCGCCGAAGAGGCTACCCGGTGAGAGTACAAGCTGTGGTGTGAGTGTGTGTGTGTGCCTGACTGTTTGAATTTTACAGTTTGAAGTGTGAATTGAGTCTGATTCCAGGGAGTGCTAGCAGTTTCAGTTTCAGCTTCTGTGGCAGTTGGGACTGAGAGCCTGCCATTGTTCCCTTGATTGCCTCTGATTAGCCTCAGGCTCAGCCTTCCCCTGTGTGACTCAGAAGGGGGCAGGCCTGACCTAGGCAAGCAGGCTTTAAAAAGCCAGAGCAGTGCGACCAGGGGAGCGAAGCGGACAGGGGACTGCAGACAGGGGAGTTGAAGAGGGAGAGCAAAGCGCCCCCACCGCCGAAGAGGCTACCCGGTGAGAGTACAAGCTGTGGTGTGAGTGTGTGTGTGTGCCTGACTGTTTGAATTTTACAGTTTGAAGTGTGAATTGAGTCTGATTCCAGGGAGTGCTAGCAGTTTCAGTTTCAGCTTCTGTGGCAGTTGGGACTGAGAGCCTGCCATTGTTCCCTTGATTGCCTCTGATTAGCCTCAGGCTCAGCCTTCCCCTGTGTGACTCAGAAGGGGGCAGGCCTGACCTAGGCAAGCAGGCTTTAAAAAGCCAGAGCAGTGCGACCAGGGGAGCGAAGCGGACAGGGGACTGCAGACAGGGGAGTTGAAGAGGGAGAGCAAAGCGCCCCCACCGCCGAAGAGGCTACCCGGTGAGAGTACAAGCTGTGGTGTGAGTGTGTGTGTGTGCCTGACTGTTTGAATTTTACAGTGTGTAGGGTTTGGATACATGGGAGTATTCTTCCATAGTCATCATGCCCACTCTATACAAGTGGGAAGAGAGGAGGTGCATATGAACTTAGATTTAAGTTAATCCAAACATGAAAGTGGACCACATTGACAAAGTCCAATATTTGTAGTAACCTAGTTTTTTCATGTCCCTTCTAAAAATGCAAAAGGGTTTATGAAATGTTTTAGATTACTGAATCAGTTTTGTATTTCCCAAACTGTTTTAAATAATTGCAGCAGTGGAAAGAAACACAGTTGAATTAATTCAGATACCGTTATCATTAGAGCAGTATTATCATTTGAAATTCTATCCCCAAGCTACAAACTTTCCAGAATGAGCATGAATTTGAATATTTTGTAACCTTCTTCATGGCAGGAAGTTGGTAATTGTAGAAGCAAGTAGTGTTAAGCCTGAAGAGAGAGCTCCAAAGAGCTGATTCCAAAGCCCATAAGAGGATGGCTCCATTTTGATATAGAGGACTTGTTCTGGGGTGAGTCACTTTTCTTTATTATTATTATTATTATTTTCATTTATTATTTATTATTGTATTTATTAACCATATTACAGCATAGTGAGAAAATAAAAAAGCAGTGTGGAATACTATATTCATCAATCATTTTCTCCATTGTATGCATTTTTACTTAAAAAATATTCTCAGTGCACTAATACATTTAGAAATGCCTAATTTTAAATGAGAGTGGCAGTTGAGCTCCTGACAAAGATCATTTTATTAAAGTATATGCACATGAACAATAAAAGCTGCATGTATCATTGTCAAAAGATACTCTAGTCTCTTCCTATTTTTCATTCTGTGCTTATGTTTACAAAGGGTGAAGAGTTGGCACAGTAGGAGTCTGTTGTTTACTCTCCAGTTAGATATAGTGCTGTATAGGCTTCATAGAGATCTCCCCTCTGGCCTTGCCAGGAATCTTGACACTTTGACCAGAGAGGAATACTCTCTCCATGGGTGAGAAGTAATTCAATCTCCATACTAGTTCAGTCAGAGTGTAGGCTAATGAGCAGTCTAGAAAACACCAGTTATATTTTCATAATGGTTTGGTAATTCTGCCCAGATCTGTGTAATTATGAGTCAGATACTCAAAGGGAGCTCAGTATGACCTCTGCATTTGTGTCTGCAGGTTTCACATTTGAACATGCATATTGCAATGTTTGCTATCTCATTGTCTGAGCAATATACACCAGTCTGTACACACCATTGTGTTATGTTGTATGACAGATATGGCAGTTTCCTGCAATATCTTTGGGAGATCTTATTGAGTTAACTTTATGTATCATTATGTATAATTTATGTATCACATTTATTATTAGGGTGTGTCAAATACAGTTTACTGGACATAGTCATTAAAATAAAAATGGCTGCCGCACTGTGCAGACAATCAGCTGATCCAGCACAGCACAGCAGTCTAGACGCGGCTCGGTCTACCACTCCTTTGAGCCTCATGAAACGAGGTTTACAGGAGCGGTTGACAAAGGCTTTCCTTGTCAACCGATCTGCGTCTAGACTGCCTCGCTGTGCTGGATCAGCTGATTGTCGGCACAACATGGCGGCCATTTTTATTTTAATGAAGTGGGGATTATTTAAATCCCCGCTTCATTGACTATGTTGAGTAAACTACTTTATATGGCTCTGTCGATGGAGCCATATAGTCTAGACACACCCCTAGAAACCATCATATGTGTTACCCCAAAAAATTCCCACTGGAGACCACCCAGGGTTACACTAGCCTGAGTTTATTCATAAATTAAAGAAGATAGAGCTGCCACCAAAGGTTTAAACTAAAGAGGGAACCAGCTATTTCTCACACACACAAACAAACACATACCACACACACACACCTCCATTCATTTGCTCATTCACACACATTCATTCCTTCTCTCAGGCACTCACACACTTACACAGGCAAATATGGATTGCAGAAGGAGACAAGGCATGTAGATTCTGGAGGGTCTGCCTGCTCATCATGGCTGGGGAACTGGTGGCTACTTCTCAAAAAGAAAGAAAGAAAGAGGGGGTATCTGCATTGTGCTCTCTCCTTTTATTGTGTCTATATAGCTCCTGTGACTCATCCTCCTTTGTCACCAGAGAGCATACCCAGACTTCCCTTGGTCCAGCAGAGCAGCAGTCTGATGACTCATCACCATGTGTTCAGTCTTGCAACTTCAAACACACACACACACACACACACACACACACACACACACACACACACACACACCCCTCTCTTCATTCACTCGGGAGAATGCAGTTTAGAGCAAGTTACATGCAAAATGGCTGAGAGTTGCAGCTTACAGTAAGTTTCTGAACTTATAAAGCAAAGTTGCTGAGAGTTACAAAGTTGCAAAGTTTTACAAAGATGACAGCGAGTTGCAAGGTTTAACAAAGATTGCGATGAGTTGCAGAGTTTAAAAGGCAATGCAGACAGACCATCAGCAATGAAGTGACTTAGAAGACAATTGCCTTCCTTCCCCCAGCAATACAGTCAGCAGGAGGTTTTTGTAAGTCAGCATAAGCTGCCGAATATATTGCATGCCTCTCCACATGCCAAACTTGCTCTCCCGATGAATGAAGTTCTCATGGACCCAGCAAATATCATCTGGCAGATGCCAGCCACAATATCTCCCAACTGCAAACTGGACTTTGCCGATACCTCAGCAAATGCCATTGTCTGTGCAGTTGTCATGAGATGGGCATCGTGGCTCCAACTTTTTGGATTTCCCAGAGAAGTCCAGGCCACAAATGAAGACTTGCCTTTCGAGGGAACCAAGTTCTTTGCTGAATCCACCAATGCCTCACTCCATACACTAAAGGACTCACGTGCCACACTGAAGACACTCGGCATACACATGTCTGTTAGAAAAAGAAAACAGGGAAGGTCATTCACGCGAAGGTACAGACCTACACCTTTCAATCAGCAACCCAGGTAATATGACAACAGGTGCCAACCACAACAAAGTAGGCACAGACAGACCTCTGAGCAGACACAGCTCAGCAGCCATCCACATCCTGACAGGTGTTTTGAAGTGCTGATCAAGGGTCTGATAGCCACAATTTTTCCACAGCAGCATGTGTTCCTTCACAATATTTGGCAGTAGACTAGCTGTGTTCTATCCAACATGGTGTACCATCACCACCAACAGGTGGCTGCTGGAGATCATCAAAACTGGTTACTGCATCCCATTTTTAGTTATCCCACCTTCTCACCCCCTCCCTTGCCTGTCCCTCTTCAGGGACGCCTCTCATGAACATGTGCTCATACAAGAGACAGAACACCTTCTTCAACTGGGGACCATAGAAAAAGTATTACCTGAGCACAGGGGCAAGAGGTTCTACTCCCACTACTTTCTCACCACCAAGAAGACAGAAGGATGGAGGCCTGTCTTAGACCTCTGCAAACTCAACTGCTTTGTTCAGTCCCAGTGATTCAAGATGGCAATCCTCGCCACTAACATTCCTGCCTTGGAAAAGGGAGCTTGGCTGTCTACCCTCGACCCCCAGGACACCTATTTCATATCTCAATGCAGATGCTTTCTGCAATTCATGAATAGGGGACCTACACTTCCAGTACAAAGTGCTACCCTTTGGACTCTCAACAGCCCCATGAGTCTTCTCAAAGGTCCTTGCAGTGGTGGCAACCCATCTGCGCTGAAGGGGGATCACCATATTCCCGAACTTGTATGACTGCTGTTAAAAGGTCCCATAGGGCGTGACACAGGACAGGCAGTAAAAACCACTAGAGCCCTATTCGACAGTGTGGGGCTCCAGAGAAATCTACCAAAATGCACTCTAACTCCTACCCAGAGTTTAGAATTCATAGGAGTGCACCAAGACTGCAGGACTGCAATAGCCTCCCTACCAGAACAGAGGATCTCAGCAATTGTAGACCTCATATCTCTAGCACGTGCCAGCCCACGCATAACAGCTCACCACTGTCTCCAACTTCTAGGACACATGGCTGCAGCCATGTTTGTGGTACCATATGCCTGCCTCCTTGTGAGGCCACTCCAGGCATGGTTATATATGGTATACAGGCTGTACGTCCATCATATAAACAAACGTCTTGCAATGCCCGCCTAGATAAAGGCCTCTCTCACATGGTAGACTGTGTACAACCATGTGTACAAGGGTGTCCCCTTTCAATAACCACCAGAATCACTAACAATCACAACACTCACTTCACTATTTGGGCCCCGGAGGAAGCCAAATGACATATCAGCCTGCTCAAGCTTAGAGCAGTCTGCAATGCTTGTGTACACTTCCTCTCTCTGATCCAAAACAAAACAGTACAAATACTCCTGGACAATGTCACAACGATGCACTATATAAACTGGCAGGGAGGAGCTTGGTCCTATCAGCTCTGCCAGGAAGCAGTTCTCCAGTGGGAATGGTGCATCCCATGAAACATAAAGTTGGTGGCAACCTATCTCCTTGGCAGACAACCTTAGCAGACATTTTCCACAGAATCACGAATGGGAATCAGTCCTTCAATGCTGACTCCTCTTTTCAGGAAGTGGGGGTTTCCCATGATGGACTTATTTGCAACCCAGACGAACACTCGCTGCCCACAGTATTGCTCCAGAGCAGGCACAGTCTGCCACTCCTTAGGGGATGCATTCAGCATAAAGTGGGAAGCACCCCTGCTGTACACATCCCCACCATTCCCACTTCTCTAAAGGGGGTTACTGAAAGTTGAACAGGACAGAACCAGGGTAATCCCCACAGGTCCCAGCTGGCCCAGACAAACTTGGTATTCATACCTCCGACAGATGAGTGAAGCTCCACCTCATCGCTTTCCACCAGTCTGATTCCTGCTCACACAACAGAACAGGCAGATACATCATCCTGGTGTCCAGTCACTTCATCTTCATGCATGGATGCTAGCTGGTTAACTCTCATGAACTGCCGTAGACCTACAATGAGAAAACATATAAATAAAAATGGCACTGGTTTACAGTATGGTGCTTGAAACATAACTGTACTCCAGCAGACACAGATGTCTCACATATTCTCCACTACCTCCTAGGCTTACACCAGAGTGGTCTATCTCTAAGCTCTATCAAGGTACATCTTGCTGCCATTGCAGCTCTACATACCCCGGTACAGGGTTACTCTGCCTTTACTCACCCATCTATCAAACCATTCCTCCAGGATTTACACAGTATGTTTCCATCACTAAAGGATCCAACATCTGCATGGGAACTAAATCTCATGCTTAGGGCTATTGTGGGAAAGCTTGTTGAGCTTCTAGCTACCTGCTCTCTATTACATCTATTGACGAAGGTCACCTTCTTTGTTGCAATTACTTCCACACAAAGAGTGGGCGATCTGGGAGCCTTGATGGTGAACCCCCCCACACACAATTTTTCATAAAGACAAAGTGATCCTTCGTACACATCCCAAGTTTCTCCCAAAAGTACTTACTTCATGCCATTGCAATGAACTCATCTACTTAGCCATCTTCTTCCTAAAGCCCCGAAAGGATGGCAGGGAGGTGACACTACATACCTTAGAAGTCCACAGAGTAATCACTTTCTACTTACAACAAAACTCTACCACAGAACTCATGACTTTTGGTCTCATCTACAGAGAGATCAGGTTGGTTTGGCACGATCTATCTTTTGTAAAACCATGTTATAATTTGTCCCAATTGCCATTAATCTCAATGTCTCTAACTACTTTCTCCTTCAAAATTTTTTCCAAGATCTTGCATACTACAGATGTCAAACTAACAGGCCTATAGTTAACCGGGTCGCTTTTTTTCCCTTTCTTAAAAATAGGAACTATATTAGCAATTCTCCAGCCTCCATCCTAGAATTCTATTTCCCTCCCTACTTAGGTGAAGTCCACCCCGAGAGAACAGTCCTCTGTCCATAAATGCCTCCCAGTGACCACACATCCGAAAGCCCTCCTTATAGCACCACTGCCTAAGCCATCTATTGATCATCATAATCCTGTCACATCTTAGTTGCCCTTCTCTAGGAACAGGCAGAATCCCACTAAAGATCCCACTAAACGGAGTTAGAATGTGCCAGTTGTACTGCAGTATGTGATGTGTAATCCAAAAGCACCTCTGACTTCAACAGGGGATGGGTGAGGGAGCTATAATTGAACGCTGGCTCTGTGTCCTCTTGCAAGAACCCTGTACATTAATATATCCCCAAAGGTGAAAAGATTTGGATTTTCAAGGTCTTGTTTATACTAAGACATAAAATCCTTGATAATCTAAGATCAGGATGGTGAGTGATTGTTGCTTCTCCAGTGTTCTTCCAAAGTGGATGCAGTAGGCTGATTTGTCCTTGCACTGCACTGATTTCCGCATAGAAACAGAGACTTCTTGTTTCCATGACACACATCCTGCCTGCAGTTGTCTCTGGAGCTGAGTTTGAGGTGGTTGCATATAGCAGTGATAATAACATATGAATACCTATATATACAAATGGTGCTGACCTTTCTGGTCAGTGCATCTTTGACCATTTTGTCTTCCCTTTTCTCACCATCTTTTTTTTTTCTGGGCTATTTTTTCCTTGGCTATTCTCTTGGCAGAGCAGTTGCTTCTCTCTGGGCCACTGGGTCCAGACTTATTTTATTTATTGTTGTTGCTAACTTTTGTAGTTCAGCCAGTTATACAGGGATGGGTGTTATATAACAATTACAATAAATAAATAAAGGCCCTGTTTTCAAGGTTCTTGCTGTCCAGAGGGAGAGCTGTGGTCATGGAGAAAGGAACTTTTTACACAAAAATGCCCTTTCTGATCTTAATTGTGGCAAATGGTTAAAGAACAAGAGGGGTGTTTTAGAGCTGCATGTAAAATGATATAGGTGATCAGCCAATTTAGGGATAATAGTAAAATTACCAAAAGTTTTGTTGTAAAACATTTGATGAATAATATTGCCTTTTAAGCCAAGCATGTCACTGGCACTCATAATTAAATTCTTCCCCATTTCATACGGCTGAAATTCAGATTGCTGCTGGCACTAAGTGCTGAGGAGCAGTGCCAGATTCTTGACATATTATGGAAAGTTGATTATTTAGAACCAAGGATCTGCTCAAGGATTTGCTCATGTCAAACACTCAGCTGAGTTGATTTAAAACACTGGGGAATATTTTGTAGCATTTAGATATAAATGGAGTTTGGGAAAGAGAAGGAAGGGTGGATCATAAAGATCTGTTTTTCAGTAAGCAATAGGTCTTGAGAAGAGTCTAGTGTTGCTGCTTTTCCAGTACGTTTAATAAAAGACCAAAGATCTTTTCTTCTCCTACCTTCTATCACTATTGTGGCTCACTTTCACTTTTCCAAGCTTTCTCTACATCTAATTCTTTCCAGTCTCTTTTTCTTATTTCTTACTCCTGTTATTCCTCAATATTTCTCATGTCTTCTCTTCCTGCAAGCTACTTTTCTTGTCTCTTTTAATAAATGGATTAATGTATAGTACATATTATATTATTCCTCTAGGGTGAAATGAGAGACAAGGGGCAATGGGGAAATGGGCACTCTTGCTTGGAGCCTTTTATTCTAAACTGTGAAACAAGAGAGAAACTATTACTTTTGCATGTTGGAACATTGATTCAGAGAGAACTCCAGTCTAGCACTTTAATCATCTCAAGAGAGCAGGAGTTTTGTTTTACTTGATCTCATAACATCAGGGATGGCCTAGACAGTATTTGGTCCTGCCATGGGGGCAGGAGACTGGACTTGATGACCTCTCGAGGTCCCTCCCAGTCCTAGTATTCTATGATTCTGTGATTCTATAACCCAGAGTGTCAATCCACTTAGTGTTTCACTGAAGTCAGTGGTATCATATTTTGATAGACTTCAGGATTATCATGGCATTACTGAGGTATTCTCCCTATAAGGTGAACATACCAAAGCTGAGAGAGGCTGTAAGCAGAAGCACTGCTTTACACATTCTCCTCTGAGATAGCTTGCAATCTCTATTAGGAATCAGGAGCATGTCTTGGGTTGAGTTGTTGTAAGGAAATATGCATTGCTTCTTTTAAAAGTTGACTGTGAGGTCTAATATTGAGGATATGCACTACTACAAAAAAGGAGAGAGATTCAATTTCCACTTCTAGTCCCATGTTTTCTTAAGGCAACAGGACTCCATGAGATATCAAAATATTGTGTTTAGTACTGGTGTGATTGTGTGAGCAGAGTGAATGCCTTCACTCTGCTCCAGAGTCCTTCTGGAAAGTTGAAAAGTGGTATAAAAAGCAGCCTGATACAGCTACAATCACGATAGCTGTGACGGGGCATACCAACCCCACACTGGTCAAGGGGAGGTTAACCAGACTTGCTGGGCTGAGAAGGCCCCTCCCCTGCAGCCCTGCTGGGCATGCTCCAACTGCAGACCCAGTATAAAGGCCAGAGGAGCAGCTCAGTTGGGGCTGACCACCGGAGCGGAAGGAGCTCCTGCCAGAGCACAGGAGCAGCTGCCCCTGCAGGACAAGCTCCAGCCGCAGCACCAGCCGGAGCTGCAGCCAGTGCACCGCCACAGTCGCCACGCCAACCAGAGGCTACAGCCGCAGCAGCTGCCCCAATCATGACCTCTGCCGCTGCAGCAGAATCCATCAGCACAGGTTGAGACTAAGCCAGCCAGGGGATCAGGGTAGGAAGTACCCCAGAGTGGGGAGCAGGAGGCGTCCCGGAAGACTCAGTGTGTTTCGGGGGGGAACTCCCTGCCGAGCCAGTGGTGGGAACCACCTACCTCTGATAGGGCCCTGGGCTGGAGCCCAGTGGAGAGGGAGGGCCTGGGTCTCCCTACCCCCATCTTCCCTTGCTCCCCAGAGGGAGATGAGCCACTTAGTGAACTACAGACTCAGCCACTGGGCCACACTTACCCAAGGGGGCATTATAGACTTGGCCACTGAGCCATATTGACCCCACAGACAGGGGGAGCGCTAGAGACTTGGCCACTGGGCTGCCCTACCCCGCTGACTGGGGTGTGGTGGATTAGACCCCGAGCCAAAAGACCCAGTCCACTGGGGGCTTTCGCCGAGGCTAGACCACGGGGTGAGCTGAGGTGCTGGGCCCAGGTCCCCAGAGTGGGGATGGGCCATTCACCCCATGACAATAGCTATGATTCAGAGCCACCTTTGTGATGTCAATAGAAGGAGAAATTGAGATGTTCATACTGCTTTGTTGTAAATGTTAAGTTTAGTTTCCAACTTACATAGTCTAGCTCATAAACCAAAACCAAGATAACCTACTGGTCAGTCAGCAATAGTTGAAGAAAAACATGATGAGTCAGTTTGGTCAGAAGGGATCTTGTGATAATGAGGAGATTTGTTTACAGATATTCAAAGTATATAGTGAAATTTGTTTTAAGAGTTCACCTGAATATTAGCAAATATTTGCCCTCTTACTTCAAAGTAAGAATAAGACCCTCCGGAAAAGGGCACTTTTTCCGGAGGATCGGGGCCAGTCTAGACGCTCTTTTCCGGCTTTTTTAAAAGCCGGAAAAAAGCGGCGGACATTTTTATTTAAATGCCGCGGGGGATATTTAAATCCCCCGCGGATTTCCCTACGACGACTAGTGAAATTTACATGCCCCTTCCGGAAAAGGGGCCAGTGTAGACGTAGCCTGAGTGTGCAGTAAGCTTGGATGTAAATCTGCAGTTCAGTAGCTGGGTATGCACTAACTAAAAGATATGTAACAGGACTAGTTCAGTGCTCATTAGGGAAATGTAATGCACAACACTAGGGCTATGTCTAGACTGCAGGCTTCTTTCGAAAGAGAAATCCGCTTTTTCGAAAGAGAGCACCCAGCGAGTCTGGATGCTCTCTTTCGAAGACGGCCTCTTTACATTGAAGAACGCCTTCTTTCGAAAGAGGAACTTTCGAAGGAAGGCGTTCTTCCTCGTGAAACGAGGTTTACCGCCATCGAAAGAAAAGCCGCGTTCTTTCGAAATAATTTCGAAAGAACGCGGCTTGAGTCTGGACGCAGGGGAAGTTTTTTCGGGAAAAGGCTACTTTTCCCGAAAAAACCCCTGAGTCTGGACACGGCCTAGGATCCACATGGACAGTTGGTGCATGGAATGCTAGAGTGCTATAAACCTCACCTGAGCCCTTGACTCCTAGTGGTTCATCTAGACTAGCCTTCAGAGAAACAATTTAGAATAAATGTATCAGATTGAAACTGCAGAGAGAAATGTTAGGCGTGGAAAATTAAAATACCCAGATTGGAATTTGACCATGATTTGGTCATAGTTAACACCTTTATTCTTACCAAAAAGTGCCATGTAATGTTCAATGACTACATTTGTTCAGGCTTTTGGCTTTATTTTCACATGTCAAGGAAGAATAGGAAGAAAGTATACAAGAGTAACTTCCTCATCTTGAAATTATTATTCTGGTGAGGCTGCAAATAGCATTCCACTATGCACTCTTCATCACAACACAGAATTGCAGAATTCAAATGGAGAGTTTTCCTGATGCAAAATTCTTATTCATAATGTTATGCAGTGGAAAGAAAAGGACTCTTATCTAAACATGGCAGTTTTTTTAACTGTGAGAACTGTACATAGTCATTTTATGAATGCACTTTGCATAGCTCTTCTGCAATATTTTAATCTAGCTGTTTCAAACTAAGAGTACATTCTGTTCTGTTACAAGAACAGATACCTTCAAAAGAGTTTTTTTTTTTTTTTGGATTCTGTCCACTTCATGTGGTACTGCTATGACTTTATCTTCCTGTTCTTTGGACCATTGCTTTAGTTTGGATACCCAAAACCCTGAATGGTGAGTACAAAATAGCTTCTCTTCTTTTTACTTCCCTCAGTTTTGCAACTTAATATGCAACATTAGTTAGCCCTGTAAATGGTTTCCCCAGGTTTTTTTTAAAAAGCATTCAGTCCATTGCCTACTTACTGTTAGAAGTCTTTAAAGACATCCAAGTACTAACAATTTAGCAGCAAACAAATGCAAAATAAGAGAACCTACTTTACTTGTAACCAGAGGAAAACTTCAAACCAAAGGAAAAGGAGCAGAAAAGAAATATTTGTCAAGGTTCCTTACATTTAATTGTGAACGTGACAGTTCTAGTTATGGTATTTCCTGCATCCTCACACAATTCTCTTATAACAGTTGGAGCAGTTTACATGTTTGTGAAATTAGAGTTCATAGTCTTTATTAATGCCATAATCATATTAACCAGATACTAAAGCCACAGCCTTTGTGTCTTCTTATTCCATCCCCTTACAGAAAGGTGAGTTTAGATATAAATAAAATAAATCTAGTTTTTCTGACATTGTTCATGCTATAGAACTGTTTATTGTCCTAATTATGCTCCTGAGGTTAGCTAGTGGGCTACAGAGCCAGCCTCAGAATTTTGGGGTAGGCCTGTAAAGCAAATTTTATACCCCTGCTCTTCCTCTCCTGTCCTGTAAATAGTTCCTGTTCATCATGACCACCCTGGCCCATGCAACAAGTGTCTGAGGATTTGAGGGAAGCTCAGTGAGATTTTTTAGGGAGTATCATGAAACTTTACTGACTTGTTTTATATAAAAAGTGATTGGAACTCAGAATACCATCACTATCGTCTTACTACAGGAGACATGGGGCACTGGTCATCATGCTGAGGTCTGTGAAGAACTGACAACAATTAGAAGACTTTCAACTACAAGGGACTGTTTTATACTAATTTTTATTTTCTAGTCTGTCTTTCCCCAAAACTTCTAAACTTCTTCAAACAGGCAGCTTCCATTGTACAGAAAACTGGCCAATGGGAGCTGCAAGATTGTAGTGGAGGTGCAGGCACCGTGTGAAGCCTCAAACCCTCTCCCCCTTCAGCTTGCAGCTGTTCACAGACAAACAGGGCCTTGCAGCCAACTTGGCGGGTTAGATCTGTCCCCCAGACGGTATTTTACCCTACCCTGGTCTAACCTCTTGTGTATCACAGGCCCTTTAAATTTCACCCAGTCATTCTTTTATAGAGACCAATTACTTGTGTTTCACTACTGCAAATTTTCCAAAAAAGCTGGGACTCTTGACTTAAAGACATCAAGAGAGAGAGAGTCTACCACTTTTGTTGATAGTTTATTCCAATGATTAATCATCCTCAGTATTACAGATATGTGTTATTTCCTATTAGAATTTATTTGGGTTCAGCTTCCAGCCACTGGTTCTTGTTATGCCTTTTTCTGCTATATTCCAGAACCTTTTGGAGTTACTATAATCAAATAATTTACTTTTTGATAAGCTAAATGGACTAAGCTCTTTAAGTGTCTCCCTGTGTACAGCAATTTCTCCAGCCTTCAAATTATTTGTGTGGCTCTTTTCTGAACCCTCTTCAATTTTTTGACATCCTTTAAAAAAGAAACCAGACATCAGAGCTAAGCAGCATTCCATTATCAGTTTCACCAATGGAGTACACTGAGGTAAAAACACCTACCTGCTCATTACTCCTCTGTTTGTATATCCAAGGATTATATTAGCCCTTTTAGTCACAGCATTGCACTGGGGAGCTCGTGTTCATTTGCATATCCACTAGTACCACTAACTCCTTTTGGGTATGTCTATACTACAGCGTTATTTCGAAATATCTTATTTCAACATAGTTAATTCAAAATAAGTTATTTTGAAATAACGTGTCTACACAGAAAATGCTTTTCAAAATAGCGTTTTGCTATTTCAAAATAGCGCATCCACACTGAGTGGATGCTGAATTGCATTTAAGGCCGGCCGGAACCAGGTCTGGCAGGGCATCAGTTCAGGAGTTATTTTGTGTGGCTGCTGCCTGAGGCTATCTGAGGCCTGTGTTTAAAAGGAGTCCCCCTGGACAGCCAGTTCTCAGCTTTTCCTGCTTGCTTGCCTACCTCAATGAGGGACAGCAAAGCATTTTATTTCTGCGTGCTCTGGTTGCCTTCACTTGGGACACAACAGCACTCTGCAACATGGAGCCAGAGCTTCCCCTGGGCATTCTGGTGCTTCTTGTGGACACGTTGCTGAGATCCTGGCTGCACTTTCTGCAGGCTGCCATCCAGGAGGTCCATCGGGGGGCTGTCAGCATCTAGGAGGCCCTGCGGGAGAACTTCCACCCTGAGGAGCACTAAGAGCCTCCCTGATCTGCCCAACTGGGGGCTTGTGCCTCATTCCTCCCTCATGTCCTTCCACTTACCCCTTCCTATCCCCCTTCCTGATGTCAAATAAAATACATGTATTTTCATGAACACAAACTCTCTTTATTTAACAAAACTGGGGGGGGGGAATGAATCTGTGGTGAGACTGGGGAAAGGGGAGAAGAAAGGGTGGGAGAGGGGAGAAGGAAGCCTGGGAGGAGGGAGCTGGAAGGGAGAAGCAAGGGGAAGAAGGGGGAGGGGAAGCTCAGGATTGGGGGTCTCGCTGGACCAACTTGATTTTCATGCAAACCTGCTCCTGGGTTTGCATGTGGCCTTTGGTGGCCAGGCTAGCAACTATCCTGCCATAGACGGCCGCGTTCCTACATCTAGTGCGGAGATCATGGACTTTGGGGGCATCCCCCCCCAAACCTGAATAAGGTCCATGATCTCCATGCTGGACCAGGAAGGCGCCCACCTTCTCCGGGCCCTGGCAGGCTCCTGGGAGCTAGCAGACTGCTCCTGGGGAGAGGTGCAGGGCTGGTGCCAGTGGCTCCCTGGCTCATGTTTTGAGGCCACTAGGTCAGGGGCGTGACTGCTGGCAGGCTTGGAGCTGGCACAGGCACTGTTGCCAGAGTCTACCTCTTTATGGGCTCTGGGGAGTGGGGGAGGGAGAGGAGTATTCTTGGTTGAGGCTGGAGTGGCCACCAGGGTACCCTGGGAAGGCTGGAGGCCCCCTATTTTGAAATAAGTGTCTACACAGCACTTATTTTTAAATAGCTATTTCAAATTTGGTGTTATTCCTCGTAGAATGAGGTTTACCAAATTCAAAATAAGCACTCCGCTATTTTGAATGTATTTCGAAATCGCTGTTTGACTGTGTAGACGCTAAGAAAGTTATTTCACAATAAGAGCTGTTATTTCGAAATAACTTTGCTGTGTAGACATACCCTGATTCTGTAATTGGCACTTTATCACTCTCTGCTGAGTGTTATGCTGTCTGATGTGCCATCTGAAATTTTGCAGGATGTTTTCTACATGAAAGATACATACTTCCTTGTCTTTGACAACTCTGAAGGCTGCATTCTATGATGGTGTTTATCTTACTGATGCTTGAGAGATGTATGCAAATAACACATCCACTAGTTCCAGGGTATGTCAAGGGTGGTGCTGCTGGGGCAGCCAAGAGCCCCCTT